TGAAAATATCACCTAGGCGGGGTTTGATGAGGTTTAGGAAGAGTGAGAAGTTGTCCCCTCGATTTATTGGCCCTTTCGAGATCCTTGAGAGGATTAGCGAGGTTGCCTACCATTTGGCTTTGCCACCGCAGTTGTCCGGAGTGCATTACGTGTTTCATGTTAGTATGCTTCAGAAGTACGAGCTGGATCTATTGCATGTATTGGATTGGACCGACTTAGAGGTTGATGAGGATATCTTGTATGAGGAGAGACCGGTGAGGGTCTTGGATAGGCGAGATCAAGTCTTGCGAGGCAAGACCATTCCTTTGGTAAAAGTTTTGTGGAAGCATCACGGAGTGGAAGAAGCCACTTGGGAACGTGAGTTGGATGTGCGTGAGAAATATCCGGACTTGTTTGTTAATGTTTAACCATGTATTGGGAATTTTGTTGTATTGATAAACATATTGAATATGTCTTGTAAAACATTCTATATGTTTTGGTTTATGGAAATATTGTGAAGGTTGAGTATGCCTTGAGAATGAAAGTTTATTTTAACATTGCGTATGTTAATTCTGTTTTAGAAATGCAACTATATTGTTGGCATTGAATATGAAATTGAATTGTGGAATATGTGTTGAAATTGGTAAATTTTATAGAAAAGCAAGTTGTTAATACATATTGAATCATATTGTAAGCTGCCTCTTGAATAGAGATGGGATGACCGGTAATGGGTCAGGTTGTGGAATGTTGGATTGCAACATTGTTGAAAATTGAGAAATCCTGTTTATTTTTTTGAAAACTTGTATCTAATTTCGGGGATGAAATTCTTTAAGGGGAGAGGTTATAGCGACCTCGGTTTTCCCTCCATTCATTATTGTATCCCGGACTTAGGTTCCGTGGTGTGGGATATTGTGTATGACAAGTGTTTAATTACATTATATATGCATATTGTTTGGGAGAAGATAGGGGATGTACTCCATGGTTTGAGAGGAGATAGGGGATGGACTCTCAAAACTATTTTGGGAGGAGATAGGGGATGGACTCCATTGATACAGCAAATATGTGTATCACTTGAAGTATGGAAGTGTTTAATGTGAGTTGTTATCTCATTTGAAATGGAAGTGTTTTAATGTGAGCTTTAGGCTCATTTGAATTATTAATATTGGAAGTATTTTTATATGAGCTGTTGTCTCATGAAAATTGTTTGGGCCAAGTTCTGAGTCATGTTTGTATAAATGGAAAATTGGATAAGTAAAGGAAAGTGGGGCGTAACATGGACTTGATTGTCATGAAATTGTATTGTGATATAAATTGGTTTATACATGTTAACTATCTATCAAATGCTATTGTTTTAGTTATTGCTTATATCTGGTTTAATGTATCTCTACTGGGCATTGGCTCACCTTTTATGGGACATCATTTTCAGGTTCAGGTGATATGCAACCTCCAAGGACATAGCTTGGGAGGCCTAGTGACTGGAAGATCTTTTTGATGTTATCTTTGTGTTACATGTAAATCAAGCCAATGGCTTATTTTGTATAAAGAGTTAGACTCTTCTTTTGTTGAACCCAAGTGTTGACTTGAAAAGTTGTAAGCCCGTAGGACATTTACTTTTGTTGTCAACATGTAACATTTTTGTAGTAAACACTCTGATTTATGGAATGTATTTTCCGTTTCTTGTATCATGAATGTATGAATTATGGATTCATTTTGAGAGCATTACAGAATTCTAATCTATTTTTACGTAAATCTTATAACATAAGATAAATTATAATTTTGATGCTAGACAAATTTTTAGACTTTACAAAATATGAAAAAATTAATATATTGACAAGTGTAATTTACCATTATCCTTTGATAAAATTTACAAAACTTATAAGGCGGAATGTATTTATATTTTATCATAAATATAATTTTTGTGATTTATTTTTTAATTTTTACCAATTAAATTATGACATGTATTTGTTATTAAGAATTTAGAGCACACAATTAATGACATAAGAATAAAAAAATTCTCTTATATGTAATTGTGATAAAAATGAATAAAATTTAATTAATTCTAAATTATTTTTACTAAATATTCTAGATAAATTTTTTTAGATTATTATTTAATTTTAAAAATTAGTATTTGATTGTTTGTTTATGCCCGTGCATAGAACGGATAATTATGTTAGTATTCCATAATAAAAAAGAGAAAACTAGCACAAAATTCAAAAATATTTGAATTGAAAATCTATATAAAGATAATCTATAACTATCAACAAAATCCAAAATAAAGATAGTTTAAATTTGAATTTGAATATATAATAAGTATAATCTATATTTATCTATCCAATTTCACATCTATCTCCTCCTATATAAACAGTTATATTTCAAATGATTATAAACACATATAAAACTATTATGTCGCTATTTCTCTTTTCTCTTCTCTCGTTCTCTCGTTCTCTCTCTATATAATTTTATATTGTTATAGGTATAGCTGAAATGCTTACACATTTGCATTCTCCTCTTTCTTTCTCTCTCTATATAATTTTATATTGTTATATATATGGCTGAAATACTCCACATATTTGTATTTTTGGTCTAAATTTTAAATTTTTGTGTGCAAGTGATATCATAAATATAATACCAAACTTGACGACGAGAGAGTTTTTTAATTTCTTTTTATTGCATCAATATTGAATATTGTATACCAAAATTGCAAAAAAAAAAAAAAAAAAAAAAATTGCGCATCATTCTCATAATGAATTTCCCACCAAATTACAACTCTTTTCTATTTGAGAATTTCAGGATAATTTAACTTGGTCATTGGGTGTCCACTATATTTTATTTTTCAAGAATATTTTAGTGATGTGTTCACATAGTTTTGTGATTTATATTATGTAATATTTAATTCTGCTCTTTAACATTTAATATCAAATTTATTTTTTTAAATAAGAAACTTGAATGATTGAAAGTCTTTTATTTTATTTTGTTTTGTTTGTGGGTTGGTAGTAGAATATTATTTTTATCATAGCAAAATATAGTTATCAATTATATGATACTTATTGATGTTTCACTGCATTTGTTTGTTTAATTGAATTAGTTTTTTATATTTTTGGTTACAAAAATCTCATCAAAGATAATCAGTGCGGATGATATTAAACCTAAAACCATGACACATCATATGTTTTGCAATCATATTTTAAAGTTATTCATTGTAAATCATATATACTTGTGTATCGCACGGGTTATCACTAGTTTATAATAACATAAAAAATACATTATATTAAATTAATTATTTTTTTAATGATTTTATAATTATTTTTTTATTGTACATTAAAAGTATAATCTTACGATTTTCAATCTTATTCACAAATTTCTCTTAACCAACCTATTTAGGATCTCATTTTAATAATAATAGTATGAGTTTAGTCATTATGTAAAAATTAAGGGCAAATTACAAACACCTCCCTCAAGATTTTGTGAAAATACAGATTCTGAGGTTTATATTTTCATAACAAATTTGTCTCTTGAGGTTTTTATTTTCATACAGATTTCTTCTAATTTGTTATACAAATTTGACTTTCAGGAGGCAATTTGTAATTTTTCAAACTTCAGAGGGAATCTGTATTTTCATCAAAGCTCGAAGGGATGTTTGTAATTTATCCAAAAATTAATTGAAACAAAATTAATATTATTATAATGTTGAGAAGGAGGATGCCGCGGATGGCCGGTGATAATGGTGGCTAGCCATTCGAGCGTGCAAGGAGAAAAATGAATAATGAGAGATGAGAAAGAGAAATGATGAATGATGAGAGAAGCAAATGGGTTTGCAGAGACAACAACAGTTTGATGAGAGTGAATCTAACTAAGGTTAAATTAATGGGACTCTTTAATATGATGATTGACTTTACTTTCAGTATTTTGTGACGTGGTAAGATATTATTGGCTATTCGTAAATTTAACTTTTACAGTGACTTTGTTGGATTATACTATTAAGAATAATGCTTGGGATCCCCTTTTGGGGTCACTCCTCACTTCCTTGGCCACGTGGCGGGTGGTGATTGGAGGAGTAGGAAAAAAAAGAAAAAGAAAAAAAAAAATGTAACTAATGAGAGAGAGAAGGGATCAAAGCGGATGAGAAGAAAAGGATAGATGAATCATTGTTGTACTATTAATAGGACTTTATCCTTATTGAATTGGAACATATCTTCATGAAAACGCAATTCTCGCGGATAGATAAGGGTGAGCGCAGTGCATTTAGACCATTTGGGAATAAAATTATAAAATAAATAATAAATTTATGAATTAATGGATTAGTAAATTACAGTTTTAGCGATTTTAAATAGATTAGTAGTTTAAAAAATATTTTAATTAATTATTAAATATTTATATAATATATAATATTAATTTATATAATATTTTTTTTATATATAATACAAATTAATTTTATATAATATGTTTCATAATTATTAATAATTTATAACGAATTTCACATTTTAAATTTCTATCACATTTATTTTTATTTTGATGTTTTATTAAAATTTTAAAAATATATATGGATTAATTATCGCAGAACAGAAAGATTTGGAAGGAGAATTATAAATTTAAAAATTTAATTCGCGATTAGCAATTAAAGCGGGGCCAATTAATACGACTCGATGTGATTTTAATAAATTGAACAATATTTTACACAATCCTAGTATCCTACTCATAGTGATTTTGTTGGATTATACTATTTAAAAGGATAAATTACAAATACACCCTCTAAAATTTATTTAAAGTATAGATTACCTCTTGTAATTTAAAAAATTATAAATACCCTTCGTTAAATTTTTTTATTTAACAGAATTAATTAAAAAAAATCATAATTATTGTCCCATACAATAATAAAATTATCTAAATTATTAATTAAAATATATTTATAATATCATTAAAAATTACTAATTATCTTAATAATTTATTGATGAAATATAATTTTTAAAACCACGTGCCGAGTTGTAATTTAACTTTTTTTTAATACGACCTTATCCTGATTAGAGCTTATCTTCATCTCAAATCCAATTCTCTCTCTTTCTCTCTCTCTCTCAATCTCAATCTCAATCTCAAAATGGTGGTATTGAAAAATTCCTTCACAATAAGGCCGGCTGAACCAACACCTAGATCTGGTATATGTATATCAGATTGTGATCAAGATAAGCCCATAACACATGCACCCCTTATCTACTTCTACGGTTCCCTTCCTTGCCTTTCATTTGCATCAATTATTGAAACTCTCAAAATTTCATTGAGCAAAGCGCTGGTTTCTTTTTACCCACTAGCTGGACGTTTGTACTGGACCACTGGTAACGGTGGCCGTGTTGCACTCAATTGCAACTCTATGGGCGCTCGGCTTTACGAAGCCGAGTCAGATGCCAAAATCGAGGACTTTGGGGACTTTTGTCCTACCCCGAAACTTCGATCACTCGTTCCTTCAATGGATTACAGTGATCCACTGCATCAACTTCCATTGCTCTTGGTGCAACTCACCAAGTTCAATTGTGGTGGCGTTAGCCTTGGCTTGGCTACATCACACATAATGATTGATGGTACAAGTTTTTCTCACTTCATGTCTACGTGGGCCAAGATCGCCCGTGGTGAGCCGTTGGATGTGCTGCCTTTCCTTGATCGAACGTTGTTGCTCGCTCGGGACCCACCGATTCCACCGCAATTTAATCACGAGAGGTTCAATCCTCCACCACTCTTGATCGGTAGATCGGACAACCAGGAAGAGAGAAGCAAGGAAACAACCGTAGCTATGTTTCATCTTAGTAAAACCCAAGTTGAGAAGCTAAAGCGTATGGCTAATGTTGGCCGAGCCACCAACGTACAATCCTATAGTCGATACGAGGCCGTGGCGGGACACTTATGGAGATGCACGTGCAAGGCACGTGAGCACGAAAACAATCAAATTACGAAATTGTACTTTGCAGTAAATTTCCATAATCGCATGCTGCCACCGTTGCCACAAGGATATTTTGGGAATGCATATTTAAGAATTGCGGCATCAAGTCAATCGGGCGAGCTGATGACAAGGCCATTAGGTCACGCCTCAAGTAAAATCAGAGAAGCCATGGAAATGGTCACAGACGATTACGTTAGATCCGCCATTGATTTGGTAAAAGTTCAACGAGACTTAACCCGGTTCAGGACATACCACACGGTCGGGTCAACCCAAGGACATTTCTATGGGAATCCAAATATTGAGATTACAAGTTGGATAGGCCTACCATTGAAAAATGTAGATTTTGGATGGGGAAAAGAAATTTATATGGGCCCAGCAAATGTTGCTTTTGATGGCAAGTGTTTTGTTTTCCGTGGTCATGATGGGGATGGATCGTTGACTATTGCAATACGACTACAAGTGGCCCATATGGATGCTTTGAAAGAATTTTTCTACAAAGGCATATCTGATTGGAGTTGCTCTAAGTTATGATGATTGCATTATACTGCTTTCTTTGATGCTGGTGTCTAATTTGTACTTCCCTGTTTTCTACATTAATAAATCTCTCTTTGCTCTATTTGCTCATCAAAAAAAATCATTAGTGCACTAATTATTTGAAATATTAGTATATGTAATGATATCGGTTGTAGTATATTAGTATAGAATGAGCCCTAACAGGAATAAGATGTTGTGGTGATAAATTTTTTAAAAGCATTAGCAACCCTCTAAAATTCACTGTAGTGTATTTATTTATTATTTTTTTTACTTTTTAAAAATCACTGTAGTGCATTTGTCAATATTTTTTCGTCTAATTAAATATGATAATAAATATTTTATAGAATTAATCATTTTATTCCACTTCAATCTCATGAACCAAACAATACCTTAGAACCATCATCATTTAGCATTGCCTTCACAACAATGCCACCGCTTGAAGGTGATACTCATTTCTTTTAACGTTTATGCAAATTTGACAATTTCTCTAATAAATCATTCCAATGAAGGGGCTTTGAATCTCCATCATAATTGTTGGAAATTGGGTTAGATTTGATCCTACTCGTTACCCATGGAACGACACATGAGTTATTGATAATTCACATATTCACTACAACAATTTACGCATTCGTTGACTAAAATTGGCGACCAAAATAAAATTAGTTGCCAAAAGTTACAGTTTTGCCGACTAAATATATATATTAGTCAGCGATGATTCAAGTTTCAGCTACTATATTATTTTAATCGAGATATCTTATTTATTGGTGACTAAAGAAAATTTTTAGTCGCTAAATATTCACTAATAGGCGACCAAAAATTATTAGTTGGCAACAGTCTGAACTTTGGGCTACTAAAGATTTAATCTCGTCGCAAAATATTATTATTTGCCGACAACATAAAGTTTAGTTGCCAAACAGTTAGCTAATTTCTTTTTTATTCTTTTTGCCGACCAAAGAATTTGGTCGCCAATACTTAGTTTTGCTGACTAAAATAATTTAGTCGTCAATAGTAGCAAAATGGCACTTTTGGCTAGGAGATTTTGGTCGTCAATAACCTATCTTTTGGCTACAAAATGTTTTTTAATCGCTAAAGCTTGATTTTATTTTATTTTTAAAAGGAAACCACTTAATTTTGGCGCCCGCGTCTCCTCACTTACACAATTTGGTCTATGTTTTGTGTCACACACATAGAAAACAGAGTTTGCACCAAACCTCAACCCCGCTCACCACTGACAATCACCACTGTTGCGCACCATCGTCGCTCACCACCGTCACACGTCACCACTGCCACAGCCACCGCGCAAATCACCTCCCCCATTGCGCCGAATCACAGGTTTCTCTCTCTCTCTCTCTCTCTCTCTCTCTCTCTCTTTCTCTCGGTGTCTATCCCTCTCTGTCGATCTCGGTTTGTCTCTCTCTCTCTCTCTCTCTCTCTCTCGCTCGCTTAATATATTTCCCCATTTCTAACACAATACTCTAGGGTTTAATATGATTTTTTTTGTTTGATTTTGTGTTGATTTCTGAAATTGGTTTGGTTCAAAGCATGTTTGTTTTCTTCAGTTTTAAGGGTTTGATGCCAAAATAGTTAGCCCTAATCCATTTCCAAAATTGGGTTCAACTGGTTTAAATTGTGACGCCCCAAATCTACACTATTGGTTGTAGTCAAGGGAAAGTCACTAATGAGTCCTATGGTCAATAACCAAGTAAGATCGTAGATCGCCGGAGGAGTCAAATTAGTCTCCCTTCTAAGTCCAGCTTTCTTAGGTAGCGCACTATCTTTTTGACAGATCTTAAGAGGCATTGACAAAAGGTCTTGTAAGCAATGTCAGGGGTTATATTGGTGTTAGAATATAAGTACATAATACCAGAGTAATTACGAATATCCTTAATTACAAAAGCTCGTTCCATTACATTACATCCCAAAAGAAAATTTAAATTTTCATATGAGCCTTAAAAATCATCAAAAGGGAAATTTCTTACTTTTCTAAGATAGCCAAATGTCTTCAAAGGTTTCCGGCTCGTCATCTCCTGCTATAAGCTCCTCTTCAGCACCTGGCATGATACGCCGTGAGCTTTAAATGCCCAGTAAACGCACACACACCACATCCATTTTTCCTAGTCTATGTGGGGGGCGAATAATGGAAAGATCAGATGGTGTATCTTTCTAAGACTGATATTAATCGGCTATATCCTACGAGAGCGGGGAGCCGAATAGAATGTATGTACCGAATAAAGTATAAGTACTTAGGGCCGAATAAAGGAAAGGATAATGATTAAAAAGTAGGCCCTGGCCCCGAGGATAAAGAAGAACAAGTATAAATACAGGAACAACGGTTATAGAAAGTGATGTAAGAATCACTTCACAAAAACTGCTAAATAAGCTATCCTGAGCGTCTGAACTAACTTGTCCGTCGGAGTGCTAATTCCGACACCCCCGACCGGAGTGCTTATATCTTTTCAGGTGACTAGCTGAGGATCACTGGCGTCTCCCAGGATCTGAAGAGTATTTCCAAACCACATTCCCCACAATTGACGCTGTCTGTGGGAATACTCAAATACATCCATGGCAGGCGTGACTGAAGATCCTCCGGTAGCCATTGACGAGACCGCACAGGGAGATGACCTCACTTCAGCAAATATGCTCAGAAAAGAAACCATCGTTGCAAGACGCGCCTTGAACTTCGACTCACCAACGACCTCAGCGCAAGAGACAATGCAAGCGATCATCGAATAAGCAAAGCAGAATGAACAAAGGCTGGAGAACATGATCGCTGAAAACGAACGTCTCCATTAAGATTTGGCCCTCGAAGTCGCAAAATCGAGAGAAGCCATGCGCCAAGATCCCGAACGACCTCTGAGGGCCGGTGGACAATGACCTCGAGCCCGACCAAAGGATACCGATAGCGACTCCAACTCATTAACCACGGAACAAGCGTAGGAGGAGCAGTTCAAACGAAGAGGACCAGCACGATCCTTTTGTCCGACGGATTGCAAGGGCGACCCTGCCTAAGAAGTTCAAAGCTCCGTCATTCACTCTTTACGATGGAAAATTAAACCCCACTGATCATATCCGTCACTACAAACAGGCCATGACATTGCATGCAGACAACAAAGCCCTCATGTGCCAAATATTCCCTAGCAGCCTGGGGTCATTAGCTGTCAGGTGGTATTACAAGTTAGAGCCGGCCTCGATCAAAAGTTTCCATCAATTACACAAATCCTTCAGGGCCAGGTTCATCACCAACGAGGTGCAGCCGAAACAGGCCGACTCTCTCTGGGCTATGCAGATTCAGTCAGGAGAAACGCTCAGAGCGTATTCAGCGCGCTATTGGGAGTGCTTCAACCTCGTCGACGACGCTTGCAACGACTCCATGGCCATCACCGCCTTCAAAATGGGACTACATCCTGACAGTCCCCTTCGTAGTTCCCTGACCAGAAGAACCCCCAAAACAGTCTGGGTGTTGATGAAGAAAGTTGAAGAGTATTGCAAGGTGGAAGACGATGCCTTGAGAATAAAAGCCGGCCAAATGTCCAACAAAACGGCCCCCCTTGAACTTGCTCAACCAATAAGTTTCGCGCCACCTCTTAGCCCAGAGCCTCGACAACGTGCTAAACGAGACAAAAGACGGGATACTCATCGATCAAGCGATCAATGCTCCCACCGGACGAATGAACGACTGCAAGTCGACCCCAGGCGTTCGAGACGTGCCGACAAGAAGTACACAGAGTTGTCAGAACTGATCGCTGCAATAATGACCAAAGTCCAACACCTTCCATTCTTCAAATGGCCGTCAAAGATGGTAGGGCCGCCCGACATGCGAAGAAGGGATAGGCGGTGTAAATATCACAAAGATCACGACCACGAAACGGAGAGTTGTTACGCACTAAAAGATCACCTGGAAGAACTGGTGCATGACGGCTGACTACAACAGTATGTGAGAAAGGGAAAGCCAACCACGGCACTGGCCTTGAGGCAGGACTCACCTCCACTTGGCGTGATCCATATCATCTACAGCCTGCCGGAACCCCCAGCCGTGCACACAATTCAATCGCATCCAATCCCCCAAAAGGAACGTATTTCGACTGAATGGCCCAAAGAAGCTTCGACAATTACTTACAATGACTCCGATCTTAGCGGCACAACAGCTTCCCACATCGATCCGTTGGTCATTAAATTACGCATAAATCGGTTCACCATCGAACGTATTCTCATAGACCCGGGGAGTACTTTAGAGGTTATGTACTACTAAACTTTCATCAAACTCGGCCTCAACAAGTTAGATCTGTCTCCATCGCCTTACCCATTGTTCGGCTTTAATATGAATCCCGAATATCCGTTAGGGAAGATCATACTACCTTTTTGAGCGGGTTCCAGAACGGTCGAAGTAGAATTCATGGTCGTAAAGCTCCCTTCGCCGTATAATGTCATCATGGGGCGAACCTGGATACATATGATGAAGGCTGTTCCAAGCACTTATCATTAACTTGTGCACTTCTCGACAGCCCATGGCATTGAAGAAATCCGTGGCTCCCCCCAATCGGCACAAGCAGAGACTTAATGAAAACCCTATCACTGGCCTGATCTGTGGGCTTTGATACTTGTGTATGTATCACTTCTGCAATGTAAACCATTTTTCTTCTTGGCTCCGTTTATCTCTCAAAGTCTCCGGATTCGGAGCGCCCTTTGTGGATGTCACGATTGGCCAAACAAAGTCTCCGAATTCGGAGCCCCCTTTGGTGCATGACACCTTAGGGCCGATTAAAGTCTCCGGATTGGGAGCCCCCTTTGGTGCATGACACCTTAGGGCCGACTAAGTCTTCGAATTCGGAGCGCCCTTTGTGGATGTCACGATTAGCCAAACAAAGTTTCCGGATTCGGTGCCCCCTTTGGTGCATAACACCTTGGGGCTGATCAAAGTCTCCAGATTCGGAGCCCCCTTTGGTGCATGACACCTTAGGCCAATCAAAGTCTTCGGATTCAGAGCCCCCTTTGATGCATGACACCTTAGGGACGACTAAGTCTCCGGATTCGGAGTCCCCTTTGGTGCATGACACCTTAGGGACGACTAAGTCTCCGGATTCGGAGCGCCCTTCATGGATG